ATATATATATATATATATATATCACATTTTCTTGATCCATTCATCTACTGAGGAGCATCTGGGTTGTTTGTGATCATTTGGGTAAATGCCCAGAAGTGGATTGTTGGGTCATAGTGTAGCTCTATGTGGAGTCTTTTGAGGAACCTCCATACTGCTTTCCAAAATGATTGAACAAGTTTACACTCCCACCAACAATGCAGTAGGGTTCCCTCAAAAAGGGAAATTTTATATTCAACATGAAAGGTTGGAAACAAATGTTTATTGCAGCTTAATGCATAATTGCTCAAAACTAGGAAAAACAACAGCACAACTGCTTCTCAGTGTGTAATGATTATTCAAACTGTGCTTCACTCATCTCTGAAATGTGATTCAGGCATCAAAAGGAATAGATTATTGATACACTTAACAAATTGGATGACTGGAGAGATCTTTCCTGAGTAAAAATGGTCAATAGCAAAAGAATAAGGTGTTACGTGATTCCAAATATGTAGCATTATTAAAATTTCAAAAGTTGAGTTACAGAAAAGAGCTCTGATTACCAGGGCATGCTGGTGGAGAAGGTCTGCTAAGAAAATGCTAGAACATCAGGTTATATGGTCATATGTACATAGCTTTCAATCTCTTCTGCTTGTCCTAGACATGTACTAGTTATTGCAGATAAGGGAAACCATGGGACCTATATTTCTTTGGGTCTGGCTTACTTCACTTAATATAATTTTTTATGAGTCTTTCCATTTCCTAACAAATGGGACAATGCCATTCTTTCTGATGAAGGCATAGAATTCCATTGTGTATATAAACCACATTTTCTTGATGCGTTCATCTACTGAGGGGCATCTGGGTTGGTTCCATATAATATGCTGTGATAAACATAGTTGTGCTGGTAGCTTTAGTGTGATCTTGATAGGGACATAAAGATATTGTATCTTTTTTGCTGTTTATTTTTAATGTACTTATAATGTAGTATGTAATTATTTTTGTTTCTTTGTATGTTCTTCCTCCATTGTTCTTCCTCCCTGTTGTCACTGTATTTGATTCTGGTGTCCTTCATCTTGAATATATATATATATATATATATATATTAATTTTGGGAGGGGAAGGGAAATAACAAAATGCTGAAATAAAGATACAGGTTGACCCATTGGAACAATGAGACAAACATGATACTATGTTGAAAAGGAACTTTACAACTTTGCAGGGGATATGGGGGGGGTTGGGAGGGAGTTGGAGAGGTGTGGAGTAAAGGGATGGTAGGGGAAAAATAAAGGAGGGCGTAACAATGCTCAATAGGAAATGGACTTATTAACTTACTCATGTAAGTGTAACTCCTCTGTACAATATCTTTACAATAATATATATGTATATATATATATATTAAGAAAAAAAAGAAAGAGTAGAACATCTGTTCTACCTCTTGACTTGTTGTGGCCATGTGTTTAATTGCATAAAATCACTGCATCTATTATCCCAGCACTCAGGAGTCTGAGCAGGTAGATTTTTTTTGGGGGGGGGGGTCCAGTCATGGGGCTTGAACTCTGGGCCTAGGCACTGTCCCTCAGCTTTTCATCTCAAGGCTAGCACTCTACCACTTGAGCCACAGCACCACTTCCGGCTTTTTTCTTTTTGCTTAAGTGGTGCTGAGGAATCGAACCCAGGGGCTCAGGCATGCAAGGCAAGCACTCTACCACTGAGCCACCTTCCCAGCCCTGAGCAGGTAGATTTTAAAATCTCAGACTAGCCTAGGCTACACAGAGGCTCATGGTCATGTGAAGAACAACATGAGACTGTTTTTTTTAAGCTCAGTAGTAGAATGCTTGCCTCATATCCCTCATTTGATCCACAGCAATCCACAAAAAAAAAAAGGAGAAGAAAGTGAAATAATTTAAACATAATCTCTTTCATTGGAATAAACAAATTCTTACTTCCTAACTTCACCTATATAAATTTAAAGGATTAAATAAATAAGTGTATATCAAACAGAGATTATACAAATGTAATTAAGAATTGAAAGCAGAGAAGGTCAGATAAATTGATGGTAGGTGAAATGAACCCCAAGATAAGTATTCAAATGCTTTTTCTTTCATGTGATTTTTTTCTAACATATTTATAAGATGATTTCTTTGTTGCGTTTTATGTCCCTCCCCATGATATAACTCCTGCTTTTACTGTATTTGATGTTGGTATAATTTGTTGAGGGAAGGGAAAAAACAAATCATTTAAATAGAGATACATGTGAACCCATTGCAACAATGAGATGTACAAGTCGTAATGTAGAAAAACGAACTTTACATATTTGGCCAGGGGTGGGGTGGGAGGGAGATGAAAAGGGATGGGAAAGGGAAACAAAGGAGGAGTCAACAATGCTTGATAAGAAATGTACTCATTACCTTGCCCATGTAATTATAACTCCTCTGTATGGTATTTTCACAATAAATAATAATAAAAAAGAATTGAAAGACTTGGGTTTGATAAAATAATGGTATACTTCCATAGATCAGGATAATATAACATTGTGAAATTTATATAAAATCTCATTATCTTATAGATTAAGTATAGTTTAATATTAAAATTAGTTTCTCTGATTAACCTCCAAATTCACTGGCTGGAAAATAAATTCTAGAAACAAGATTCTTTGATTTGTCAAATTACAAGCCATCATCTAAAACACATTTGTTTCTTCTGGTAATGGTGTTAATTAAGGCAAGTCCATAGTTTACGTTAGGGTTCACATTGATGTCATACATTCTATGGAATTAGATATGTAATGACATGTTTCACATTATAGTATTATAGTGAGTACTTTTATTGCTCTTAAAGTCTTGTCCTTAACCGTTGGTTTTGGTTGTTGTTGTTTGTTTTCCCATTATTAATATGCATTTAGGTTCATCTTTGACTTATTCAGATTTGTGCACAATTTGTGGCAATGAATTACAAAACAATCCATTGTTTGGATATATTGTAATCTATTTATCCATCCTTGGATGGATATCTGTTTTTTTCTGTTTTTTTTTTTTTGTTTTTTTGTAATTAGGAATAAAGCTGGTACAAACTTTGGTGCAAGTGTGTTTCTCGATGAGTAAGTTTTAACTCTTTTGGGCAAATGTCAAGGAGTATCTTTCTTTTGTCTGATGGTAAAAGTGTAATTAGTTTGGTAAGAAATTTCCAATTGTTTTCCAAATTGAGTGTATCATTTTGCATTCTTGCTAGCAAAGATTGCGGGTACATTATATTTTAAAGTGAAGGTTCTTTGGATTCTTATAGCAAGCTAGTGCTCTTCCTCTCTCTCTGAGCATTTGCACCCTACATTCTTATTCTGACATCTATTATTTGTTTTGGTACCTCAATGCAAACCGTCTGAGCAGGGCTTAGATATCACCTTACAAATATTTTAGTTGTTAGTTTGAAATCTTCTGCATAAATTAAAGAACTTCAAGTTTCGATCTGTAAGACACTCAGAAGTGGACATCAATGGATTTTTTTTGTAAAACCATATACAATCATAATATCTTATGTTAATGATGGAATCAAATAACATATTTTCTTGGCAGTTACTTGGTTGGTTAAATACACAACAAAGAGACTTGCTTTTGAAATTATTGACTCTCTGCCCTAGATATTCAGTTAGGAAAAACAACAACAACAACAAAACCAAAGATCTTGCTGTAGGAAGTGCTGAACTTTTGAAAATGAAATCTAATGAGGTTAGTATATATCTTTGACATTTTATTTTCAATCACAGTGATGTTCCTAGCTAAAAGGTCACAAAGAAACAAGTATACAGAAAATAAACAATGCTATTATTTTACAATGAAAATAAAATAGTGCTATCTGTAGTTCCTTGCTTCTGAAAGGATATTTTTGATGCCTGATTTTGGTACTCAAACCATGTTCTTATTGCCATTTCTAGGTCTTAGGATGCCAAAATAAAAGAACTTTTCATAAAAGCACTAGCAATTTATCATTTGGGCTTTACATTTAAGTCTGAAATCCACTGAGCATTTGTGGTAATTATTTGGTGGAACCTTGTATTTCTTCTATTTGTTGTGTGCTCTTCCTTTGGAGTTAGGGAAATTTCTTTGTCAAACCCATTCAGGTTCGTCAACTCACTTATTTTTGAATTTTGCAGTGAATTTGTAAGTTCCCTTAAGAAGATTATATCAAAGTGAGTTTGGATAATGAGTTACTGGCTATATATGGTTAGATTATGACTTTTGGATAGTGCATACCAGGATTTATTCTGCTTCCATATTGTATATCATGGTGTATTTTAGGATTGGTCTGTTAAATTGGTGCCAAATCAACTAACTTTAATATTTAAAATAAATTATTTTAAAACATTTATGAGGCTGGATATAGTGGAACTTGGCTGTTATTCAAGTATCCAGAAGTCTGGGACAGGTGGAACTCAACTTGGAAGTCAGCTTGGGATCTTGTGTCAGATCCTGTTTCAATTAATAACAAAGGGTATAAGCTCACAAAATAAAGTAAAAAGTCAAAATGGTCTCTTTATTGCAATATATTGTTGACATATTTTCAAGCAAAACACTCCAAGATTTATATCTCATATTTCATTTATTTTAAAGCCATCTCTGACCTAAGATTACTTTCATTTTAGATGAACTCACAAATTCATCTGAAACCAGATTGTCTTTAGAAGACCTCTTCAGGAAAGAATTTGTGCTTCATAATCCTGAAGCATTGTGGATCAATGGTATGTGCAGATCTTTTCAATTTTGAGTTTGGTGTAATTAAAACAAAATGTATATCATAGGTGTTATCTATCTCCCCTTCTCTCTCCTCCCCTTTCCTAGCTACCCTTCCCCTTCATTTCCCTCCTATCTGTCTCTCTCCTTCCCTCCTTCCCTCTCCTTGCCCTCCCCTCTCTCTCTTTCTCTCTTTCTCTTTCTCTCTCTCTTATGTGACCTATATATCTATATATGCCAGACATTAGAACTTGATCTCACATGTGAGAGAAAATCAGTAATCAGTTCTGGGAGTGGTGTTTCAGTAACTACCCCTTACACTGGATGTATGTACTGTTCTTTGTGATTTTTTTCTGTCCTAGAATAAAAAACACTCTTGCTTTCCTTAAATCAATTTTGAAGACTAACTTGAGAAAATTAAATTAAGTTACTGAGTGGCTTCATGGACTTCAGTTTGTCCTTACAGAAATTAAGAAGGAGAATTATTGAGTGAACTAATTCTGAGAAATGTGTTAGCAAACATTAAGTGACAGGGTTTCACTGTTTGAATATTCCATTTTGCCTGACAGCACTTGTAATCACGGTTGCACATCATTCTTAATGCAGTATCTTTGCTTATTTACCAGGAAAGATATATATATATATATATATATATATTCATGTAATAAAGATTTGTATTTTGAACTAATAAAGGTTATTTTATTTATAGACAATTCCTTTTTATCCAATATTTTATTTAAGCACATTTATGCTTACAAACTAAGCTTTAATTTATGGAAGCTTATAGACAGACTGCAATCATGGAGATAAGATCAAACCATACTTGTTTTCTTCTCACTGAGATAATTCCTAGAGATTGAGCAGCATTCAGATTTATTTTTGACTAGATGAATGAATGTTTTAAATGAAAATATAGCATCCTTGATCATCAATTGATATTTCATATGTAATTTATTAAAGAAGACAATGTATCATGTTGCAGGTCACATGATCTAGCACTTTCCTTCACCTACTTTCATATTTTCTTATCTAACTATTTATAATTGGGATAAGTTATATTTTTGCCTTGTCTCTGTGATTATTTCTAGTGCACAGTATTAACTTCTCACATAAGCACTATCACTAATGAAAGTTAAAATAATTTTTACTCCATACTTTGTTCCAGTTCACAAATCTATCACAGATCATTCTCTGTTGAGCAGTTACAGTTATATAAGTTATCTATTTACTCCAAAGCAAATCTTTTCATGAGGCAGTTAACTAAAAAGGGAAGTTATCAATTTTTTTAAGGTTGGTAGTTTTGTGAATCATTGGATCTGAAATACTGGCTAATCTTTGTGTGATTTTTGACAAATTATAAAAAGTTGGCAGTCTTTGACTTTGGAAAGCAAGGGAAAACTCAAAGATATTGTCTTCTTTCTCAGTTTAGCTTGGACTACTCATTGAAATGTCTTTTTTCTGTGTATAGCTGGCACATTGATACTAATGCTCCAAAGAAATGAAGTAAATGGCATGCCTTATTTCAACATCTATGGTGCAGATTCTATTTTTACATTTTAAAAGATATCAAGATAATGTATTTGGAGTCAATGTTTAACATAAATTCCTTAACAAATTTTGGTAAACTGCATCTTGAGAAAACAAACTGAGAAAAAAGCTGTAGAATATTCTAAATGATGCTAAAAAATGATATTTTCAAAAGAATTTTGCATAGAAAAACAGTCCTTTAAACTGTCAAAACAGTCTAAGCTCAAGGAGATTGTGTAAAAGTTTATTCTTTGTCCATTGTTTTGAAGTAGTAGTGTTTATTGGTGTTCTGCTGTAACTCAGCCTCTGTACGGCAGTCACTAGGTGTTTACCCTATTTTTATATTCCTCAGGTATCCAAGAAATGGATGGAACCCACAGGAATAGGGTGTATAATCTTATCCATATTATAAATCATTATGTCAAAATGAAATGTAGGCTTTCTATTTATTCTCAATAGAGCCTCATAAAATTTTCTTACTGTATGATCACTTGAAGGAGTTCAGCTAAGCTTATTTGGAAGTTGTGTTTAATTCTTGAAGGTCACCATAGGAACATAGCACATTGCTGATCAAATGGGAAATGAGAGTCAGAGTGGCCCTGGCCAGTAGCTTGTGATGAAGCATTGTCATTCATTATGCTGATTCTCAAATCATCTATCTGAGAATGTCACTGCAGCCTTGGATGGGTGATTATGTTCATGGTTGACTGAACAAATGCCATGCCCCAGATCTGTTCAGATCCTTGAAATCTCCATTTTTATAGCATCTTTTTTTTCCTTAGTTATGTTACCTTGAAATCTAAAAATTCATCTTGTCTAAAATTGTCAATTGACATTCCTTTGATTATCAAAGAATAATCTAACATTGAGCACCTTCTATGTAAAAATCCTGATGGGTTAAATATATTAAGTAGATATGATATATATCATAAAATCATATATTTTATATAATTCATATATAAGCAAAATAGAAGTCTAGAAACTGATGTCAAAACAAGAAACTTATTCAGACACATCTAATTAATAGAGAGAGAGAAAGCCTGCTTTATTCATTTATGCTGAAGTATAAAACAAATCTTATCATTTCATTCTGACATACCGTTCCTATATCAATTATATCCTGAAAATGTCAGTTATATATACATCTCTTACTAAGTCTGTTCATGTTGGTTATTACACTAATGTTTTTATCTTTCCAATATAATAGTAACTTATACAGTCATTAAAAATAAAATGGATATGCCTATTTATTGACACAATCAAGATTAAAAATAAAAACTAATGCTTTCAAAGCAGGGGAAATAATCTATGTTATTGAATTATATTATGTTTTAGTGATGGCCTCCAGATAATTTTTTCTTCTTACACCCTTTTTCCTCAAAGTTCTTTAATAAATGTATACATATGTGTGTGTGTGTGTGTGTGTGTGTGTGTGTGTGTTTCTTATAACTAAGAAAAAAGATGTTCCTTCCTGTCAGTTTCATGGCCTGCAATTCCTCCAGCAGTCTAATACAACCTTTTAGGGCCCAGTTAAAAAATAGTAAACTGCTCCTCAAAAACCACTAGGAGAGTGGTTTTATCAATGGACTAAACTCTTGACTCCTCCCTTTATGTGTGAAGATTCAGTGAGCCAGGCCTCTGCCTCTGTCCTTTCCTACTGCACTTGATGCTTCCCTCTTTCAAGACATTTGATGTGCTCCCAAGCCTCCAGAGCTCTCTGTCTTTGTGCCTTTACCGCTCTCATTTTTGCTTGTGCAGTTTTCTCTGTCTCTGAGAGATCCCTGTCTCTGAAAGTTCTGATTGTTTTCCTTCTGGAAACCTGATTTCAGGCAACACCAGTGGCTCTATTTCTGCCAGTTTGTGGAACATCACCTTCCCCAAATTGCGTTGTGATTCTCTTTAGGCATAAATTTCTATCTTGGTAGTAGTTAGAGCATATGTAATCTGTAAGTAAATATTTCTAAGACAATTGTGAAGGACTACTTTTATTGTTTGTTTGTTTGATTCCACTTGTTCTTTGCTTCCAGTTTGGTATAATAAATATTTCTGAAAAAAATAACACAATGTATTTCTAGATAAATGAAATAATACATTAATATTCCCTACCACAAATTCCAGTTTTCTCTTTCTAAACCCTGCAATTACATTGCCAAATATGTATTATATAAAAATATTACAATATATATTTTAAATAATTTGAATGAAAGAATACATTTTACTAAACATTTTATTTTTCTAAACCTAAACAAAAGTGAGAATAATAATGATTAGATCATATTTAATGACTATTTTCAAATATAAAAAGTGAAATAAATACTTAACTGCTTAATATTGTAATTTAAATTCATTTAAAAGCAATTTTTTCTGTTTTTTAAATTTTCTTTTTTTTCCTTTTTTTAAATTTTTTGTGAACATACTGTACAGAGGGGTTAAAATTACATAGGCAAGATAATGAGTACATTTCTTATCAAGCATTGCAGCCTCCTCCTTTGTTTACCTTTCACATCCCTTCCCAGTTAAAAGCAATTTTTAACAATCTCTGACTGTTAACTTTAAATTTTCCACAAAATGTGTTAATTGATACTGTAAACATCATCTCAAACTCCATCCCATTCTAAAATCTAACCTTTAGAGACAATTTTAAATACTTTTTATCAAAAATGATTTTAGCTTTTTAAGCACATCTCCATTACAATTGACATTAGGTAACAGATCATTAGGTAATGAAATTTTATATACTGTGCCTAGTGGGTGGCTTAGATCATTCCATGAGTTTGACAATTGCCTAAGAATATTCATTCTCTTATCATGGTCTTAGATCTTACAGAAATATCAAATTGCTATGAAAGTTTCTGAAGCTTATCTTTTCTGGACAATGAAACCTATCAGTTTCTGGCCAAGTAGGAAGCCCTTTATCAATGGGCTATCCTAGGCCAACATCTCTCAATCCAGATCTATTCTTAAAACGATAAGCCATAGAATAGGACATTTGTCAGATTCACATTTGACTATAGCACCTACTAGGACTACTGTTCAATTAATAGTTAGCAAAATAAAACATAAACCTCTAATGTTTTCTTAGTATACAAAGTTGGACCCACATGCTCCACAATCATTTGAGGGTTCCTTTCAGTTCTTTTTCTCATAGTGTAGATATATTTTTCCCGTTGCATTGCCAATTGTACATTTGGTATGATGTGTTACTGTTTGTTTCTGAGCTGAATCATTGATATTATGTGAGTGCCTGAGTTTTTATCACCATCTTAAAAGATTCATGTTGGAGCCAATGAAACCCATTTGCCACATAATATTATAAGAGATATTTCTTTCAAGCTTAAAACAATGTGTGAACAATATGACATATGAAAATAGGGAAGTCATTAAAATAAAACAAGCTAGGAGAAATTATTTTTAAAACCTCTGATACTTGGTTTCTTCACCCAACATAGGAATAATAGTATAGCTGGCAACACAATTGAAA